GTTTTTAGGGCTCGGAGATGAAGTTGGGTTTATTTTTCCAGCTTTAGTTTCCATTGGATTTAAAATTACAGCCAAGTGAGAGGCTGCTCTTTAAATATCTACTTCATGTAATCCCTAAGCCCTAACACTTGCAAAGCTTTCTGTTGGCTTTTAAAAAATATATAAATCCCCTCTGTTACCCACAGTCACATGGATTTTATGTCCGAGGCACTACGCTAGGCCTACGTGACACACAGGTGACATGTTCTCTGTCACGTTGCTCACGGTCCGCCGGGGAGGCAGGTGCACGGGCCGGTAGTGATGATTCGGTGGGACAGGGCTGTACGGGAGGGACACGGTGTTGGAGGTCGAGAGGGGAACGGAGTTGTTCTGTTTGGGGGGGGACAGCGAGGGGAGGTTTCAGGGCAGCTGACATGCTTTTGGCCGTTTGCCTCTTTCTGGCTTTTCTGGAGTCCAGCACTTCACCGAAGCCTTTTCTTGGTTTGTTGGGACCCTTCGCCTTCCGTCACACCACTTTCTTCACACCGGTCGCCGGGACGTCTTTGTCTCGGTCTGTTCACGTCTCACTCCCTTGGCGGCTGGGCTTAGTTGCACACCGGCCAGTCTCCTTCCTGTTGAGCCTGCGCTGGCCCTTCCCCCTCAGCCCTGCTGTGTTTCGTACCACGTGGTGGTAAGTCACTCATGTAACGAAAACGGAGCCTCTTACACATGTAGAAAGAAGGGAAGGAAGTATCACGTTCTTCTGTATTCCCCGTGGGGATTTAAAACATCGCTGGTGCCCGGCCGGCGTGGCTCAGGATTGACCCAGGATCCTGGAGGTCTCGGCCCGATTCCCGTTTGGGGCACAGGCCCGGCTGCGGGCTCGATCCCCCGCAGGGCGCGTGCAGGAGGCAGCCCCTCAACTGGCATCACTGATGTTTCTCTCTCCCCGTCCCTTCCTCTCTCTCTGAAATCAATAAAGGCATTAAAAATAATAATAATATGCTTTTCATATACTTTGTAGGCGTGCCTTCTGGAGGGCTCTGGTTGCCTATAGGGACAGCTTTCTTTGTTCCTTGTAATATATTTACACGGGGTATTCTCTCAATCCTCTTGCTCGTTTATATATGGAATTCCTTTTCTTGCTTTCAGAGGAAGCCTGAGTTTCATGGCTCTAGAGCTCTCTCTTCTGTTACTTTTGTGAAGTGTTGAAATGCCTGACTGCCTGCTGTCTGAAATCTGACTTTGTGCCCCTCCCCTACTTTACTCTGGGGTCTCTCTTTTGCCCCTTGCTGTTCAGTTTAGATTCTGTCCCTAGCATTTTCATCTTTGCGTAGGGCTTGGTCCTGAAAGGGGGGCTGTGGCTGGCTGGTTTTGAGAATTCACAGAGTCCCTGCACTCACCTGAGAGCCAGAGTCGGCAAGAGTCCGCTCAGGGCCGGGGCCTCTTCTCCACTGGCCCCTCCGCACCCCAGCCCCGCTTTCCAGTGAGTCTGGGGGGTTGGTTCCGTCAGGTGCCCATGACTCTCCTGTCCTTACTTCCTCATGCATGGACTTCACGGCCTCCCAGGTGTCCGTGGTTGGTTCCTACCCACTTGGGATTTGGCGTTCGGAGATTCCTCGTTATTTAGATGTTATCTGTGAGTCTTTGATTTTTTCATCCTGATTTCTCCGTTTGCTTTTAATGGGCGGTTCAGGAAGATTAAAAAAAACCTGTACCAACACTGCCACCGTCCTCCATCCACCTCGGTCACTTAGATGAAAGGTGTGCTCTTCTGCTCAGGGTGAGGGCTTTGGGTAGGAGCTTTAAGGGGGAGACGCGAAGGCTGAGAATATTCACCGATGGAAATGGAAAGGGTGCTTCCTGGGCACAGGTGAGAATGAGGTAAGGGCCCAGGGGAGGCGGGGCCGTGGGTTGGCAGTGGGCCAGCCTTCGTGAATGTGGGGTACCCTGCAGGTGCCACCTCAGTGCAGCCTCAGAGGGGGCTGACGGTGGACCAGGATTATAATTAGGATTGTAGGTGTGCCTTGTTGGTTGTACTGAGGGACCAGCATGTTATGGGTGTTGGAGACAGCAGGTTAAAAAAATGTTTCAGTGTCAGGTGTGGTTTAATGAATTTGACCCCTATCAGGTATTAAATGCTTTGGAATTCCAATTTCTCAACACATGATAAGTCAGTGAGCAGTACTCTAAAGTTGTGTATTGAGAGCGACAAAGAAAACCAAAGGCTTAAGGAACTTTGAGTCATGTGTTTATAGCTATCTGCATACAGCGCTTTTCTAACACTCTCATTGTGGCAACAAAGTCAAGTTAATTTTGATACAAGATAGCATTATTTGTAAACATTGTGTATAGTTACTTTCCTTATAGCTTAACATTCCTTGAGAAAGTGTTAGAAATTAATTACAAATTTCTATTTTAGCATGTTAATGAGTGCAAAGCATTTTAACAGGACTTTGCAAACAGAATATTTTTTTAAAAAGGAAATGTGGCAATCCACACCTACGATTATGCTTGATATGTTACTGAAATAAAGGTTATTTATGGTAGGAAGTCTCAAATTACTCCACATATTTACAGGAGACAGGAAGCTGTCAGCTCTGTAGTTACCATAGTTCAATAAAGAAATTTCTTTAATAAGACTGTTTAAGATGGAGTTTGCAGCAAGGAAAGGAATAATTGCCTGTCACGCTGTAAAAAATCAGTTTCATATCTTTGGGATGTTTCTTTACACTAATTTCCACATTGTTCGAGCTTATATATCTACAGAAACAAAACAGCAAAAGATCTTTTATTAAAAAGCTTTTCCCCCCTCCACATAGTCAAGATTTTATAGCTAGAATTGATGAAACGGTGTCTAACTATTAACACAAATATTAAACAGAATATTTTTATGTTTTCCTGACATTTTCATGAGAATGCTGGAATTCATGTGAAAGTTTTTGAATTTTAAATATTGATGGGACAGTGATTGGTTTCTTTGTTCTTTGCTAGGGCTGACTTGTGGAGAAGATCCTCATGTTGTTCAAAATTAATAAAGTACAAAATGCCCAAGAGCCTCTCCAGGAAATGCCAGGCCCCACTTCTGCAGCATAAGGCTACGTGTGTGAGTGTGTGTGTGTGTGTGAGTGTGAGTGTGTGAGTGTGTGTGAGTGTGAGTGTGTGTGAGTGTGTGTGTGTGACTGTGAGTGTGAGTGTGTGAGTGTGTGAGTGTGAGTGTGCGTGTGTGTGAGTGTGTNGTGTGTGTGAGTGTGTGTGTGAGTGTGTGTGTGTGTGTGTGTGTGTGTGACTGAGTGTGAGTGTGTGTGTGTGAGTGTGAGTGTGCGTGTGTGTGAGTGTGAGTGTGTGTGAGTGTGTGAGTGTGAGTGTGTGAGTGTGTGTGAGTGTGAGTGTGTGTGAGTGTGTGTGTGACTGTGAGTGTGAGTGTGTGAGTGTGTGAGTGTGAGTGAGTGTGTGTGTGAGTGTGTGTATGTGAGTGTGAGTGTGTGAGTGTGTGAGTGTGCGTGTGTGTGAGTGTGTGTGAGTGTGCGTGNNNTGTGTGAGTGTGTGTGTGTGAGTGTGTGTGTGAGTGTGTGTATGTGAGTGTGTGAGTGTGTGAGTGTGCATGTGTGTGAGTGTGTGTGAGTGAGTGTGCNGTGTGAGTGTGAGTGAGTGTGTGTGTGAGTGTGTGTATGTGAGTGTGAGTGTGTGAGTGTGTGAGTGTGCGTGTGTGTGAGTGTGTGTGAGTGTGCGTGTGTGTGAGTGTGTGTGTGTGTGTGTGTGAGTGTGAGTGTGTGTGTGTGTGTGTGAGTGTGAAAACCCTGGAACGAGTGACCAAGATCCTCGTGAAGGTCTGATGACACCTCAGGATATTTACGTAACACAGTCACACACATTGTCTCGCTTTATCCCCTCAGTTACCCTAAAAGGCGCAGGGTGTCATCACAGACCCAGAGAACACGTTTTCCTCGATTTAGGGAAATCGAGTGGACAAGGAAGGAGCTGATGGAAGGACTGCTTGCTTTCTAGGGCAGGCGGTAATTCAGCAGCCGCAGCGGGGCCCTCCCGCCAGCCCCCGCCCTTGTGGACCCTCCTAAGGCCTCAGCCAGGTTCTCCCGGCTCCCACTCTCACCCACCCCCACCCACCTCTGTCAGATTGTTTCCCTGCACAGAGACGCTAGGACTCGGTGAGATTTGGGGATTCAGAAATGCTGGTAACCCTGCCTTCTCCTGCTAATCTAACTTCTTTCCCTGCAAGAGGGTGGGTTCCATTTCCCCTGGGAGGCCCTGCCGGGCGTCCTGAGCAGGGTCCGTCCAGTGACCTGTTCGAGAGCACTCTTGGCGTGACCGAAGGCAGGGAGGCCGCGTGTCTGAATTCGGGGATGGAAACCGGGCCTTGCTGTTCTTCCCGGGAGAAGTCGGCTGTGTTTCTCTCAGGCTGATGAGTTGGAGTTGCCTGCGACTTTGGCACAGTCCCTCCCAGCCAAAGAAAGGATCCAGGACCAGGCGTTAGACCGGCGGGGAGCTAACTTTGAAGCTTCCGGTTGCACTAGGATAGTAAGAGTGCTGACAACTGAGGGGAGGTCCCCAGAGTCGTTCCAGTCTGTTTGCCAGTCCCTTTCCACTTTGACTTTTAGTTGCCCTTTTATTTATTTTTTAAAAAATGTTTTATTGATTTTAGAAAGAGGAAGGGAGAGAGAAACATTGATTGGCTGCCTCCTGCACACCCCCTACTGGGGGATTGAGCCCCAAACCCAGGCATGTGCCCTGCCTGGGAATCAAATGGGTGACCTCTCAGTGCCTGGGACCACCCTCAACGGAGCCACGCAGGCCAGGGCTAACTGCCCTTTATTCTTGGCTTCCTCCTGGCTCTCCTCATTCCCTTGCTAAGGCGCCCTGTCCGTTCTCATCACTGAGACCTGCATGAAGGTCTGTGACAGAGCCCAGGCAGCTGATGGACGGGCCAAGGCAGGCCGACACTCGGGTTTCCCATCACGGGGGCCGGGGTGGAGGCACACGGAGACAGTACATGGACTCCCGGGTCTAGGTCTATAAATATATTTATTATAATATAACAAGAACTTAACAATAAACATATACTATGTACAATACCATTACAGAGAACCCTGTTTATATCATTCACAGAAACAGCCAGTTTTGCTCCAGTGTGATCGATGAGGAGAGAACGGAATCTCAGTGTCCCCTGTGTTGAGTCCCGCTGACCACTAACACCTCCTTTGGAGGCAGACGCACACCAACGCGAGCATTAGCCCTGCCCCAGGCAGTTAGGAATTTGTGCTCCAGTCCTCGGGTTCACACTTGCACCCTGTTTGACATAAATACTTTAAATGACATACAATGTATGTAGTTTTGTGCTTATTACTTTTTAAAAGAATAAATAATATTAAAAACTGCATAACGAAGCTCAGCATCTTGTCCAAGTGGGAGCCACACCTGTAAGTGCTGGAACTGGAATTTTGTGTCATCAGGCGCCGGGAGGTGGAAAGCGTGTCCTGTCCTCTCCTTACAAAGGTGGTTTTTTTTTCAATCATGAAGTGCGAGTCGACTTCCCAGATATAAAAGTGGTAAGTGTGTAGTTGGTACCAACGTCAACTAAACGGCGCAGCGGTGACGGCATCTTCTTGCCCTGGAATGGAAACTGGTCACCGCGCGAGGTTTGCGGGTCTGAGGACTGGCGGGAAGGCCTTTCTCGTTCGGGCCACGGCGTCGCCTCCCTCCCGGCTCCCCTTTCTTGGGTTAATCTGCTGCGAGAGGAGTGATTCTGCTCACGCCCGCAGGCCCTGGCTGTCACGGCTCCTCTGCGAAGGCTGTCCCCATCCTGAGAGCTCGTGTGGCAGGTGCCGTAATATATAGCTATAAATATCAAAAATAGTCTCCTGTGCTTTGTAGACACATCCTCCCTCCCTCCCTCCTCCTGTCCCACCGGCCTGGGTCCTCAGCTTGACCTCATGGAGGGAGCTGGACTGGGGTTTCCTTCTAGAATATTTTTTGGGACGATGTCCCCAGGAGGCACAGCTTTTATGGGGCTGTCTGGGAGTTACTTCTTCTAAAAATAAAGCGGGGGCATTTATGCCCCCCAGGAGAGAGCCTCTATTCTGCACATAATAAAACTAGAGCCCGTGCCCCACGCTGGCATCACCTCCACTCAGCTTTGGGAATCCCGCCTCTCCCTCTCGTGGCCTCTTCCTCTCGGTACTTAAAAATAGCCTTTTGTGTATCAAGAAAATGCCTTGGAAATCTAAATAATTCATAGTGGATAAGAGAAAGCTAGCACGATCATCCTGTCTTTCCATCTGCAGCAAAAACGCGGTAGAAAAACCTGGGAAGGACAGGCGGCTCCCCGCTGTCCCCGCGGCTGCCCCAGCCACACCTGGCTCCGCGCCGGTGGCTGGACCTCTCTTCGGCCCGGCCCGGTGGGGACCAGCAGCCTCCTAGGCCTCCAGCCACACAGCATCGTCCCTCGTTTCCCCTCGGCCACTGGACGTGTAGACTGGTTAAAAACAAAGTAGGAATCAAAGTGATAAGGACACTTTGATCTCACTCCAGGAGAGCCCGACGCCTCATATTGTCAGAGGATGACTGATCCGTGGTGGTCTAGGGGTCAAGCTTGCTCTGCAGGAAGGAAAAAACAGCTTTTCTCTCCCAGCTGAAAAATACGTGAGACTCTATTGCACCGGGCAGAGCGAGCGCCTCCATTCAGAGCAAGTCCTCCTGCCGGAGCCCCAGGCCCGCTCCGGGGTGGCCAGGTTCCTGCGCCCGGGGCGCACGCCCGCTCCCCCCAAAGGCAAGGATGATTTTCTACATTCAGTGCAGGGAGTATTCGAATGCTGAGCGCAGTGAGTCCCCGATGGCGTTGTCGGCCTCTTATTGGTGTCGTTGAAAACTGATTGTTGTGAGTAGCATTTGCCTCTCCAGGCTTGTCCACAGTCTCGCGCGGGCCTTCTGCTCGTGTCAGCCGCTTTGAATGTATTTCTTTATCACCACGCAGCCGTGTCTGAACACGGGGCAGGGCATGTGGGGGAGGAGGGTCCACGTGTTGGTGGCGGGCTCGTAGGCCTCCATGTTGCCCAGCGCCGGCCCCTCGCTGCTGACAATGCCCCCGGTTGCGTAAATCTTGCCATCGAGCACCACGGCACTGTGGGGAAAGCGGGGAGAGCATCAGCTATTGGCTTCCTCCCTGGACCGGAGACAGAGCCTCGGCGCCCGCTCTGGTTGCAGGCTGCCTCGCCCCTTTAGCAAACGTCACATGGGACCTCGCTGCTCTTCTCTGCCCTCTGCCCGCTGGTATAAGAAACACCTTTCCTCCAGAGCCAATCAGGGTGCCAGGCTGGCTACCCTTGGAGCTGCGGGTGACAGGTGTTTATACTGGGTGCCCCAGGACCTGCGGGGCTGGGTGATGAACAGCCTCCGGGCACCAGCTCTCGGCTCAGTTCACCAATCTCATCACTCCCTGCTGCCCAGACAGAGCCTTCCTACCGCTCAGGTCGTGGTGGGTCCATGACGCACCTGCAGGACAGCAGGCAGGGTAAGGAGCTGAGTCGGAACTGAGCATTGGCCACCCGACTGCGATTTTCACCCTTGCCGAGGTGCTCAGAGCCAGAGCTTCCTGCTGCGGTTCCTTAACTGTGTGGCAGGGCCTGCTGCCCACCCACGACGGCCAGGCCTGGGTGCTCTCTGCAGGGTCCCCATGTGGTCCCCATGCGACGCTCACTGGCTCGGTCCCGTGTCTCTCAGTGGCCCATCTGCTGCTCCTGTCTGCATTCCCGCCCTTCCTGCCCTTCAGCCACCTGGTCACGCAGATCCACGCTTCTAGTCCCGATTGCTCGCTCATTTGAGCGAATGGCCATTTTTTCTTAGCTATCGGCTGAAACTGAACAGATACCCTTTGAAAGGCTCCACCCATTTCTAAATTCTGAGCCTCAAACAGAACACGTCAGTCTAGACTTCTCAGCAGACACTGAAGGCCCCAACCTTGTCCCTTAACTGCCCCATGCCACCCGGGCCCACAGGTCCCTCCCTGAGGGGGCATATCTTTCCCCTGCTTCTCTTGTAAGACCCACTGCAACCTCTCCTTGGGCACCAAGTCTGTCTGCGCCCACCGTGAGTGTCAGATGAGGCCCGGGAGTCCTCCCCGCAGATCCTGCCCAAGCTCAGCTGTCTTTATCGGGGGGAGTGCGGTCGGCGTTGCCCTGCCCACTGCCACCCAGGAGAGCAAGTGACATGAGAGGGAGGCTGAGGACTAGGGTCTTCATGCTATCAGGCACTTAGCAGTCGTCTCGTCCAACTGCCTGGGTCATAGATGGAATTTCCCCGGGAGAGGGATCGCTCCTTGTCCAAGGCCACACGGCCGGTTAGTTAGTTAGTAGCAGCCTTCAGCTTTTTTAGCTATGCGGCAGACAGCGGGCACTCGATAACTGCTTCATGCTGTTCACATACTGAGGACTTGGTGGTTACCTCTGCAGGGGCACGAGATGCCTTCAGGAGGAATCTGCTATGGAAATGCTGAAGAGGGGGCCTGGGGCTCCTTTTTAATTCCTTGTTCCTCTTAGTCCAACAACAAATGGGGTAGAAGAGCAGGTCTGTGTCTCACTGCCCAGGGGAGTTCGTTTTTCTGGACCACGGGGCCAGGACGTCTGGGAACCAAGCCACACTCTGCCCTCTGCCTCCTCTCGGGGGCTGATGTCCACACCTGCGGCTGGCCGTGGCGCTGCTCTGGGCCGGGACTTGCTTTGCTCAATGAATGGTGGTCATTCGTTGTGCTAAAACCTCTCCTGATGTCCCTCCCTCCCCTCCTCCTTCCCCACCGTGGCCGAGTTGCTGCAGCCCACTCACCTGCAGAACTGGCGCGAGTGATTCATGTTCGGGCCTGCCTTAATGTTCCCTTTCTCGGGGTCGTAGATGGTAGTGGCTCTGGCATAAGCCCCGCCCAGGATGAACACCAGGCCGTTGAGGGTGACGGCGGGAGCGTACTTGTTGTCTACGGGGAGAGCAGGCCAGGCGGTCAGGGCATTGCTTCAGGCTTCTCTCCCTTTTCTTTCCTGGGCCCCTCCAGAGGAAGGGAGCTGGGAAGACCTCCCAGGCCTGGGGCCAGGAGGCACCTGGCCCACGGTGCAGCTTGCCCTCGGTCCAAGTGGTGGCACCTGCAGCTGCACCCGGGCTGGGGTTCGCCTCCCCCTCCCACCCCTGGACTTGGGTTCACAGACAGATTGGGCTGAGCCCACCCTCTGGAGACAGAATGAGACAATGCGGTGGGGACGCCGCACTGGCCCTGGGCTGAGACAGCTGGTTCTCACCAATCATTGGGGACTCGATGAAACTCCACGTGTTGGTCTGTGGAACGTAAGACTGGAGGACGCCGGCAGCTCGGCCGGCCTCATTCACGCCACCGAACACGTAGATCTTGCCGCCGCACACGGTGGCTGCTGCGGAGTGCACTGCCTTGGGCAGAGGCGCCACGGCCTCCCACTGGTTGGTGATGGTGTCATACCTGCCGGGAGAGGAGAAAAAGCCCAGGGTCGGAGAGGGCCCTGTGCGGGGCAGGGGCCACAACCAAGTCAGCAGACATTGGGGAGCACCACCACCTGCTTCCTGCCCTGGGCACCACTGGCACAGCCCGAGGTCACACAGCTGGGGGCCCTCGGATGAGTCACTCAAGGCCACCTAGAGTCTGGCCCAAACTAGCCCTCTCAGCCTTCCTCCGAACGTGAGTTCCAGACCAGACGGGAAAACGTGAGAACAGGAGGCAGCGGGCGGGAAGAGATTTGGGATTGAGCAGACCGGGCAAGGAACTGGGCTCTCCGAGGTCTTTCCTCCTGGGGCAGCTTGGGGCTCTGTTCTCAGCATGTGTGTCAGGTGTTCCTTGTGTGCTGACCTCACCAGCACGCACCCAGGACCTCTCAGCCTCTCAGTGCTGGCCCATCATCACACTGTTCACTGCTTTTTCGAGGTTTTGGACCCAAGGCGGGACCTCAGCTGTGTTTTTGCTGCTCCACACACTTGGGTTTCCCAGCACATCTTTCCCGGGAAGCACACTGGGCCCACCTGTCCCCGTGAACCTTCTTGGAGCATGAGCCATAACATGGTCACAGCTCAGTGACCCAGGAAGACAGCCTTTCTTTGCTGGTGCCCCCAGCTCTTGGAGGGGGTTGAGGGGACAACTGAGCTTGTGAAGACTCAGGTTCTGGGAAGAGTGTGAAGCACCTTGAAGGGCAGCAGGGCTTGAATGAATTAAGCCCTATTTGAATATGTGCTAATAGGTGATGCAGTGAGTGTCTTTTTGGACAGTGTCAGAAGTTCAGGTATCTGTTTTTTAAGCCAATATGGCAGAGATCCAAAGAGCTTCTGCAGAAGGCGCTGGGAGGCAGTGGGAGAGCGTGTGGCTGTTAGTCTTCGGGCTTTCCGTATAATGGCACGTCCCGCCAAACGCAAATCTCCCCAGAGCTCGGTATTCCAGGTGGCTTATTGCCAAGCCACAGCCCTCCTCAGCGCAATCTGTCAGCTCCCTGCGCCGAGAGGATATGCTAATGACATGCAAATGACCCCCGGAGCGAGGCGCTCCGCTGTCGTTTACCGCGGTAACCACGGCCCTGTGATATATTGCTATAAAATATTAGACCCAGTTATTTATATAATGATATGATACAGGTTTGTCTATTGCGCTGTTATTTTAATCTATAATTACATAATCTTGCTCTATTATGTAACACAGTAATGTAATATAATCATAATGCACCATATATCTCATTCATTACCGATATAAGAGCAATTTGTACCATTAGTGCTTCCTGGGGCACAAAGCACCCTGGTGCCTGTCCTCATTACCCTGACCTTCCTGTCATCCTGAATTCTCATCATTGCTGCCATGTGGCATAGAACTTGACTTGCCCAAAGGGCTCGGCTCTGCTGCTCGGGAATCCTGCTCCCTCCACCTCACTTGCGTGCACACCGCCCAGCGGTCTGCAAGGCTGTGTTCAGTCCCCGCAAGGCCTGCTGACAGGCCCCGGTGGGCCAGCCACGGGCTCAGGGCCCCTCGCGGTGCCGTGTTGTCCTGGGCTCCTCCATCTACTGGGTCCCAGGGTGGTCCTGTCACTCTGTGCCCAGCCCGCGGGGAAAGCTGACACCGGCTGCTCCCAGGCCTTGGAGAACTGCTCCCGGGCCCTAGGGGAGTGGAACGTATCCCCTTCTTTGTGTATCTGATCCTCGAGCAAATCCCCGTATTTATCAACAAGTGTAAGTTTGTAAAATGAGTAATCAGCGTCTTAGGAGATTAAAAATGGCTGACAAAAGCAAGACAGGATGACAGATCTAGCTCAGCTCACTCCTACCTAGGAAGTGTCTCCCGTTTCACGTGTTTATTACTGGATGACGAACGAGCGGAAGCGGGTGCTTCTGGAAGGCTTAGGGAGTGACGGCCGTGTAGCGGGTCCCATCGGGGCTGACCCAGGTTCAACGGCGGGATTAACATCCTCAGAATCGCACAGGGATTCCCCATGATCTCCAAATCAATATGACAATTAAATGCTGTTACTGAGCCAACTCTGGGCTCCACGTGGGGGAGTTAAAAGCCCGTAGTGAACATACCCAGCCCATCTCACTCTCACACCATCTTCGCTGTAACATTTGTCAAGTGTCCAATTAGCCACCGAGGGGAAAGTACAAATTGAGGCGTATGTGTGGCTTCGTGGGAAAAGGGCTGTCACGCAGGAAGATAGGCTTTCGGAGGCAGCTGATGACCTGGGCCGAGGAGGTGGGCTGGGGCCCGGGAAGGACATGGGAAAGGGCTCCGGGGATCTTGGCTGTGTCCTGGGCTGGAACTTGGGGCCAGCTCAGCCTCACTCGTCACTCTCTGGGGCACCTGTTTTTCCAAAAGCAGGACTGCACTGAAGCCTCTGCCCATTCTGCTGTGGACACCCCTGCCTACATCTGATCCCTATATGTGTTGCCCCCTATATGATCCCTAAGTGGCCTGAGGAAGCCAGCCTGGGACTTCCAGCAGAGGGCAGGCTTATACATGTGGTTCTGGGGCTCATTGGCTTATATTCTCTTCTGGAGATTTCTAGATAGTTGGCCAGGTCTGTGCAGTGGTCTTTCCTGGTACATTTGAGATGGAGGGAGAAAGGGAACTGACTCCCTGGTGTGTAACCTCCTACTGGGCAGAGACATGGCGGTGTGTGTGGGGGGTCACAACCATCTGTATGGCACACGTTTGGGCCACTGGTTCCAGCTTCACCCTAAATTCCAGTGAGTCTCTGGGCTGGTGTGGTCCCTGAGCACCAGGTCCGGCCAGCTAAGCCCAGCCTGCACGTTCCCACCACTGGGTCTCATGCCTCCCACTTGTCTGCCACCTAAACAGGCCGTCGGGACAAGAGTGTCCCATGTCCGTGATTCGGCAGCTCTCATCCTTCTACCTTGCCATCCCCAGTCCTCCCCTTCTGTTGTGTTTGGAGAGCCGGGAACCGTCACCTTATAAAGACCCAGTCTCTAGTCATCTCAGGTGGGTGGGTGTTAGGAAGGAGGAGCCGTGAGATTTTAGCTTTCAGTGAATTTCAGAGGATGCCCCCCCCCCCCATTTGTGACCGTGGCTTCATTACCTCTCCACGTGGTCCACATTGCCTGCCACGCCAAGTCCCCCGAGGGTATAAATCTTTCCATCGTAGACCAGGCTGTTGTGTCGACAGCGGGGGACGGTCATTCTGGAGACGAGGTTCCAGTTATCGAGCAGGGACATGTAGCACCAGACGTCGGCCAGCGTCACCCCTGATTCCATCCCACCTGCAGGGGAATGGGTGGCCCAGAGAGCAGGCAGGGAGTGAGGAAGGGCCTGTGGCCAGGCGGGCCCAGCCCCAGGGTCAGGAGGGGAAGGCTTCATCTTTGGAGTAGACACTCCTGGGCCTGGGCCTTCCTCAGCCCCGATGAGTGAGGAGCGGTGCCCTTGGGCAGCCCATGCTATTCCCCAGCCCAGCCCTGAGGGGCCTCACCTGAGAGGTAGATGTTGTCCCCGGCACTCACTACACTGAAGAACTCGCGGTCATAGAAAGGCAGTGAGGCCAAGGGGTACCACTTGTTGTTCTGTGGGTTCCAGCAGGTGACGGCCACCAGGGAGCGCTGGGTCATCCCCACCATCTGACGACCCCCAACCAAAACGATGACTTCAGCCACACCTGCAGGGATACAGACAGACACACTTGGGACACACCCGACACTTTCAGCCTCTGCACCCCTGGCCTCTCTGGGGACCACCCAGAGTTCAGCTGTCCCCAGGATACTGCACTTGGGGGGTTGGGGGCATGTCCCTCAGATACCTGCTGAGAGGCGGGGCCGGGTTCGGGGCGTCTGCATCTCCTGGCGGGCATGGGGCAGCATGTGGTAGCGCTTGGCCTCGTTGACCAGGTCCCGACATGCTTCCGACGACTTGATCAGCTCCTCATTGTCAACCACGTTGAGCAGGTAGCTGGGGTGGATGAAGGGGAGGCGGACCACCGCCAGCAGCTCTGCGGCGTGCTGCAGGGTCAAGGAGACACGGAATCTTCTCAGACCATGCAGACCGAGCCAGCTCTCGTGGCTTGTACTGAGACTGCACGGCATGGATAATTCAGCCTGTGTCTGGCTGGGGAGTATAGCCACTCTGCTCCCCTCCAGCCATGACAGAGATGGGCGCAGTTCCCAGCAGCTGGGGGCCAAGAGAGGAAGGAATGGGGTGGTCTGGCCTGCTGCAGCTGACCCTGGGGTGGACCATCCATTTGTCCCTTTAGCACCTCACTCCCACTTCCACCCTGGTCATGGGCCTTGGCTCAACACCAGGCTGCAGGTGGCTGAAACTGAGGATGGCCTCACCCTTGAAAAGGTGTGCATGGGACAGGAACCCAGGAATGGGGGGAGGACTCAGGAAAGCTGAGGGCAACCAGCTTTGGAAAGGAGATGGTGACTGACAAGCTTATGAGTCACAACTGTCAGAACCTGTGTCTCCCCAACCCAACAAACCCCTTCAGTGGCGTCCCATTGCCTCACACTGCACCGGGACCCTGTTGCTCCGTGTTGAAGCTGCAAGGGGGAAATGAATTTGGAGGAAGACCGAAGGCGGGAAGACCTCTCAGAGATGACTGCAGGAACCCTGGGGAGGGGAGGGAGGCCTTGGTGGGGAGAGAGAGAAGTCAACCCACCTAAGAGGGAGTGAGGAGGCACTAGGGAAGCAGTGTGTGACCAGGTGGCCATGGCTACAGTTAGTGCAGCTACACTAACTCCCAGGGGCTCCTCACACGTGAGAACCAAGGCAACTCCACTCTGAGCAGGGACTCCAGCCAGTGCTTTCTGGCCCAGAGATCCTGCTGGGATGTGCTTGGTTTCCTGTGACTCGGGTGCCCCTCCTGAAGACCCTGCCCTCCTTTCCTGCTGCCTGGACTCCAGTTCTGACTCCTCCAGCTGTCCCCTCCCAGAGACTCCCCTCCCTCCCATCACGCGTGCTGTGGTTTCCATTTGACCCGGGTGCTCTCCACCTTCTCAATAACCAGAGCGTGGGTGGGGCTGCTCCTGCTGGGTCTGAGCTCAGGGGAACTCCAGGGAACCCTGGCTCAGGCACACTTCTCCCTGAAGGGCCCTGGTGCTGTCCCCCAGACCCTGTGGCCTCTTGGTCAGCTTGGGTCTCCTGCAGGTGAAATGCCATCCCATCCCTGCACCTGTCTGCTGCCCATGGGAGCAGTTCTAGTCTCCCTGTGCCCGGGCCTACTGACTTCCACTGCTGATCAGACCCGGTGGCCCGGCCTCCCCTACCTTCCTTCTTCCTTTCCCCAGACACCCAAGAGGGGCTGGGCCGGAAGGGAGGGGGCCGGCCTTACCTGTGCGCGGGACGCGGGGTCCTTCTTGATCCACTTGATGACGGTCTCATACACTAGTTCCTCGGCCTTGGTGTTGAGGCTGTCGTTGGAGATGTAGGCGATGAAGTCGTCCTTGGAGATGCTGAGAATCTCCTCCTGGGCCGCCACCTCAGGGAAGATCTGCAGTGCGAAGGCCTTGGCCATGTGGTAGAGCTCGCTGCACTGCATGGCCTCGGCCATGGCCAGCACCCCCAGGCAGTTGCTGGCTGTCAGCTGCTTCTCTGGGGGCAAGAGCATGTGACCACTGACCACAGGGCCCTGGATGGGGTGTCACCGATTCCCGCTGCCTGTCACTCTGAATGCCTCTCTGAGCCCACATCCTTGTGTCCCCAGGAGCCCACTTCTTGTGTCCATTTCCTTGGTTTTCTTTTGCCCTGTCTCATGCTGACTATCCCAGGCCTTCCTCCGTTCCTGCAGGTCCCAGCAGAGGACTGTGAGGTATGGAGTATCAGCACCAAGTTTGGAGCTTCCTCACTGCCTGTGGGCCATGGGGTAGGGGTGGGGGTCACACTAGAGAGGCTTATGGTGTCTTCGGTCAGTGTGATGGGCATGTCTGGGGTCACAGACTCCTACTTTAGAGTTATGAGAGCGGTAACACCCCACCCACGCCCACCCACCATCTCCTATGGGCCTTGGCCTCTACACCTGGGGTCAGCCTGGTCAGCTCTCCTGCGATCCCACTAATGCTTATTCTAGCCTAGAAGTGTCTAGGTCCTAGGACCCCCATACTTCTGGGAGCCTAACTCGGAAGCTGCGGTTCCTGATCCTTTTAGATTGCTCTGTTTCCCCAGGGCCGAATCTCAGGCCCCTGGCCATCCCGGCTGACCGCTCCTGTCCTTAGGTTTGGCCCCTTGTTCTCTGGCTGCACTCCACGCCCAGGACACGCGTTCTCGAGACTCACACTTAGCCCACCCTCTCCCTACTCTCACTCAAGCAAGACAGCTCCAAACTGTAGAATAAGTGTGTTCTCTGGGCTGGGGGCCTGCTGGAAGCCCCTGACACTCAGATCCCTATCCCAGGCAGCAGGCCTGGGTGTCCAAGGGACAGTCCACAACGGCCTATGCGGACATCTGGTGTGGTGCAGTTATTACATACATTCAAGGGATAAAACATCTGTGGCTCCTTTGCTCAGTGTTTAGAGAACAGGGCTGTGAGGCCAGGGCCCAGGATCCCCATGAACGAACCATTCACATGACCCTTGTGGCCCCATTTGTCCTCACAAAGCTGCCCGGTCATAGGGAAGCGATGCAGAGGCCCCCCTCTGTCCACGCTGGTGAGAAAGGCCTTTGCATACAGTTATCTGAATTATCGCCTTAAAGCTGCTCCGTGAACCCCAGCTTCACCTGTAGCGGGGGTACGCACTCAGCCCTTCCCTCTAAATCCTGCTGTTTTTGAATTCCCCCCATCTGCCTTATTTCCCCAGGTGACAGACACGCCCCGGGGCTCACCCAGGAAGGACACGCAGACTTTGCAGAAGGTGTGGAACTGGAACTTGCTGGCCGCCTCCAGCAGGGTCTTGGCATTGGCCGAGTCGATGACCAGCGAGCCCGTGTACACGAACTCCAGCAGCAGCTCCAGGACGTCCGCCTGCAGGTTGGACAGGACCAGCTCCAGCTTCTCCCGGCCGCTCTGGCTGCGGTCTTGCACCGACCTAGGCACAGAGACCAGGGTGTCCTTACCTGCTGCCCCGCGGCCATGGCGCCGCTCCTCACAGGGCTAGGTCTCCCTGCACGCCTTGGTCTCGCCCTTCACTTAGGACTCAGGGGACATGGCAATGACACACCTGAACCTAACGACCTGACACGGGATCTGAAAGAGAAGACTCTGACCAGAGACGCCCGAAAAGAACAGAAAACCCTGCTTCTCACTACTCGGCATGTCCATGCAAAAAAAGATGCAAATCAAAAAGCATGAGCTGTGGATGGCACGAGGACCGGGACTGGCCTCAAAGGGAAACAATACGGTTCAGCCCCGCTGCTGGCCCGGTGTCCCCGCCAAACGCGGCCAGCACGTCCCGGGCCTGGGACCCGTCTGCCTCCGATGGGACATTCTCCACCATGACCGAGGCTCCCAACCAGCTGTGCTCACAGCTGATCTGGAGACTTCCTTGAACACCCCAAAGACTGAGGGCCCCACGCTGTCCTGGGACGCTGACTCCAACCCCACCTCTTTCCAAAAACATATTGTTTCCTTTTAGGCACCGAAAGGAAGCCCTTCATGACATTGCTTTGAAACTGAGGACGAGACGAGACAGACGGACAGAATGGTTAGAGCTGGGAGGAGGGGGAGGGGGAACAACCAAGGACTTCCGCCACAGACAGCCAGCAGCCATGACCTGGGACCTGGCCAGGGGCGGGGCCCTCCTGCCACATGGAACACGGGGTCAGAGGTCAGAGTGGCCTGCGTGTAGAGTGTGCATCGGGCTTGTGAACTGGGGGGAGCGGGGGAGGGACACAAATATATAAATATGTTTATCTCTGGTGTCTACAGAAATACGAAACCATTGCAAAGGCTCCTAAGGCCTGGCAGCTGCACCCTAAAGCTGGACCTGGAAGGAAACAGATAAAATGAGGCAAAAATCACACCAAGAGAAAAGTGACCAGGAGGAAAAACGCCCGGAGCTTTAAGAGGCAGGAGGCAGGCTTCTCAGAGGCGATCGGCTTGGCACCCCGTCTCAGCTGCCTTGACCAGCCTCGCTTCTCTCCCCGAGCCTGGTTCTGCCCGGGGCTGGGTCCAGCCATGGTCCTGGGAAACGATCTCTGTGTCCCACCCCTGAACTCCTGAGGTGGCCAGGGGCCAAGATTCTCCTGCCTGGTCCCTTGGGTGCCCCTGTGGCTGGCAGTAGGGTGTGGTGTCCAGCAAGCGAGCAGGCTAGCCCCAGAGAAAGGCCACCTCCTGTGACTAGGGAGCTAGGGGACCTGGGTGCCACAGCTCTGTCACTGACAGGTGGGCAGCCTTGACCTCTCTGGCCCTCAGGCTCCTCTTCTGCAAAACAAGAGGACTGAACTGGATGAGGTCTGAAGTCCCATGGAGTTGACGTGACAGTGGTTGGAAAACAGCCCTCCCACCCAGGAGACTGCTCTACACCACAGCACCCAGAACGCCTCCATCGGAGCACGCTCTCTGGGTGAGCATTGGCCACCTGGGGCCATAAAAACACAGATATGACCTGGAAGGAGACAGGTGCACTGCGATCCTGCTGCCCAAAGAATGGCTCTCCAACAGGGACCTGAAGGGACATTCTGCCTCCCAGCCCCGGGCAGCCTGGCAGCTGAGAGGGGAAGGTGCTGCTAAGCAGTCTGAGCAGAGCCCTTCTCAGGCCCACAGATACATGGCGTGTGTGACTTTTAAAGTGACAACACACCTAGTCTTCTGCTGTCAGGATGGATGTCCAATCCTGGGTGACTTAGGTAAGAAGAAAAAGAGTGCATTATATGATCACTTGAAGCCACAGAAATCCTGATCACCCCAGGCCTCAGGAGCCATCTGGTCAACCTCTTACTCTAAGTCCTTGCTGCCTCTGCCGTCTTTCCTACATGCGTCTGTCTGGCCTGTCCTTACGCTCTCCATGCTCTGCAGAGGTCATGCCGGGCCACAGCCAAGGCCGGGCTGACGAGGCCACAGCAGGGCTGCTCACCTTCTCCAGCCCTCCTACCATGCACCCTCAGCAGAGGAGCTCAAAGTCAGTGAACACCTGAGGTGGGACTTTAGGATGCACACACGCACACACATGCACACACGCATGCACTGAAATGCATGTGACATGTGATCCCGAGGAACCCAGAATCACCTGGGAGGAGGGGTGCTGAGCAGCTGGAAGGCCAGTGGAACCCAGAGTCGTGAGTGATGGGTATGATGGGACCAGAGTGGCTACACTGGGGAGAGACGCTTGTCTTGCCCAGAGTCTGAGCCAGGGAGAGGGCTGGGGACGAGGTGGTGCCACATGGAATGGGGATGTCAACCACAGGTGCTGTTCAGGGTTGGAGAGGACCGCTGTCCCAGTGACCTGCAGCTGTGGCTCTGCTCCTCCAGGAACCCTGGTTGGGGGCACCCATGGACAGGAGGGGCCACTAGGCAAAGGCTCTGCGGGGAGTGGCTGGAGGCCCCTGGGGCCAGATCCCAGACACTGTGAGCTGGATGGGTATTCCATTCGGCCACAGGGGACACTTGGGAACATGATGGAGGCTTTGTCGGTGTCTGAGTTCAAGATCTGTAGGAGTGAGGCTCTGGGCAGCTCCCCCACACGTGCGTGTCTATCTTCCACACAGATGTTTCGGTGTGGCCCAGACAGCGGTGGGGGCTGAAGGAGGCCGGTGGTCACTCTTTGTCCAGGACCATCAGACTGCTCTGGGGCTGAACCTGAGTGCTCCTTACACCTCCTCCTGAGCAAGGAGAGCCTGAGAGACATCACCCTGATGGGTGGCCCTGGGCATGGGTGGGGAGGTGTGTCCTTCACAGATGGCCATCTGCCCCTGTCCTAAGCTGGGTCTCAGGGCCCAGTGTCCTGTTCCACTCAGCCCCATGGAGTGGCTGAGGAGCTGCCAGGCAATTGGGGTCACAGCACCACCTTGGAGGGAGGTGGAACAGGGTAGGAAGGGGCAGCGATGACCTTGCCAGGTTGGGACTATGAACCTTACACCTGGACGTGGGTCCATGGGAGTTAGGGGCAGCCCACACAGGGCCCATGGGTTGTCAGAAGACTATATCTTCCTGGGGTAACCTTCTCTCAAGAGGGGGTGTGGCCTGGGGAGAGACCAGGGTATGGGACACAGCAGGCCTGGGGTGTGTTGTCCCAAATATTAGAACGGTTGACATCCTTCCATCAGCAATTCCCTCACCTGGGGTTTGAAGTGAGGGAATTGGCTTCTGCAGCCCTCAGGATGCAGTCCCTCATCTGCCCCTCCCACACCTCAGTGGTGAGATGTTTTCATTTTGCAAGCTGGATCTGGAATAATGGAAGGGAACTTTGGGGCAGTGGTAGGTGGGGGACAGTCACAAAGCAGGTGACGCATGTGACTCAGGAGGATGACCTTGCCCTTCCTATGTGATTCCCACCCTGCCCCATACATAGGAGCTTGGGCATGTCATCAGTTCCAGGGCACAAACATGGGCATGTACCTCATCTCTCTGAGTCCTGAGGACTTTTGCAGCTCACACAGGCCCTGGTCCACCCACGGTGACTTAGTGATGGGCCTGGCTCACCTCATTCTGCCAGCATCTGAGATGTGTCTCTCCTTTTGTTATCTGGTTTTCTAGACACACCTGTCTATTCTTCCAGGAAAGGGGCAGACTGCCACCCACAAATGAGTGACTTCACTGGGAAGAGAGGAGAGGCGTACGGCTTGACTACTGCATTCAGGATCTGTGCCACTCAGGTCCTTTCAGCTTCCCCTAGAGAGGGAGACGGATGAGAAGCCCAGGGCCTGTGCTGTGCATGGGCTTTGTGAAACCCACTTGGACAAATCAATCTGTCTATCCATTTTTGCTCAATATGAAAAGAGACTATAATTCAAGTGTGTTGTTGGTTCCAGCAGACTTTGTGATTTGGGAGGTAGAGAGCCAGGTCTCTGTCCTATGTGGTGTGATGAGGAGGCATCTCTGCTCTGGGGCTGCATATTTCCTCCCCCCCTGGACCTGGGGAGCATGTTCAGAAGTGCTGGCAGGGAGGGTGGTGCCTCTGCTGTCTCCAAGGGCAAACAGTCCCCTGTCCTCTCTGATGAGGCCTGCTGTCTGCCGGCCAGTGAGTGCAGCCAGTGCTCCCTGTGGCTCCACCCATCCCTGAGAGCTCCTTGGCACCCAGGCACTTCTTCTCCAGGGCCTGCTCACCGGGGTAGAGAAGTGGCTCTGGACTCGGGAGGTTGCAACCCTAGCACCCCACTAGGTCTAGTCTGCTTTAAATGTCCTCCTTCCTTCCCAAAGCCTGGGGCTCTCTGCTGGGTTTTCCCTCCAGCCTGGATGCAGGTGAGGTGTGCTTGTTACGCAGCACTGGCCTTCGCATTATCCAAACAAAGCCACAGCTCCTTTTCCTGCAGGGTTGTCACCCCTGATTGTCACAGGGACTCGGATGGTGGGGCAGGGCCAGCATTCTCTGCACAGGCTCTGAGCTTCCCAACGGCCTGTGTGCTCTTCTCCAAGGCCTCCTTGGCCTCCAAGCCTCACTCCAGAGGACTCAGCCCCCTTGCAGGTGTGGGAGTGAGTGTCTGTGACTTAGGTACCTCTCTCAGGTGGGGTATGTCTACCTCGGGAAGATCCTGTCGCCAGTTACAGGTCTCTCTCTCTCTCTCTCTCTCTCTCCCACCCCTCTCTGTCTGTCTTTCACACACACACACACACACACACACACACACACACACACACACTGCCCCCCTTTTCCTTCCAAGCCTGTCCACAGTGTCAGCCCTGAGATTTCACTTTCCTTCCTCACAGACTTTGTGCACAAGTCAACACTACACTTCTTTCTTCTCTGGATAACCAATGGATGGTGAGAGCATGAGCTTTGGAGTCAGATCTCTATTTAAATCCCAGATCTATCAGCTATTCAACTTCCCTGGGCCTTGATTTCTTCATCTGTAAAGTGGGGGTACTCATGGTACCTGCTTCTCGGGATAGTGGGAGGATTTTTAGGATGACATGAGCCATCTCTGCAAGCCTTCTGTGGGCTAGTCCTGCCCTCATCCAATGAGGAAGACCTTTATGGAACTAAATAAGGGAAGGCCAAAGAAAAGAAGCTGCCACAGCCTCCCCAAAGGAAGAAAGAACATGAGGACAAAGTAGTGGGTGGCCTGGAGCCTGGACCTGGAGGACAGGGGCCCTGGGCAGCTGGGCTGAGGGGGAATCTGGTCGCTGGTTGGGAGAGGATGCTCTGAGACCCGCTCTCCCGCTCACAGTCTGAGGGCAAAACACAAATCTGACCATGACACCCCCAGGCCTAAAACAAATCCCTGTGATCCAGCTCCTGTTCCCCAGATAGGCCTCAGTCCCTCCATGCTCGTCTTGAACTTGGCATTGCAGCTACAGTGAGTCACCTGCTGTCCTTGGCTTCACACTTGTTCCTCTCCTGTCTGTCCCACTGTTTGCCTGGACAGTCCCACTCTTGATTCAAAACCCATGCTAGATGCTCCCTCTTCCTGGGGGTGTCCTTGAATGCCCCTCTCCCCCTAGAGTTAGCAAGTGGCCTGTGAGCCCCTGGACCTCCCTGTCTGTGTCATCCTGTCTGCACAGTCCCTTCCCAGACTGTGGGCTCCCTGATGGCACGCCTCCCCTTGTCTAGTGTTTCCTGTGAGACCTGGCGCTGGGAGTGGCCCCTGTTTGTGTGCTTAGTGAAGAGCAGTGAGTGGCGGTGTCCTTATGTCTGTCCTGTGGCTCCTGGTGAGGTGTCTGCGCAGGGGCTGGATCAGTGAGCATGTTACCTGCCCTGGGCTGGAGGTGGGAAGGAGTCCAGCCTGAGCCCCTAGGCCTGGGGGTCCTGGGACAGTAGAGGATGGACAGCCCCCGACAGTGCTCTCTTGAGTCCTCCGACCTCTCAGGGTTCCATCCATCTGACTGTCTACCAGGTGTCTCTACTTGGTGTCCTCCAGCCTGCTAAAACGTGACATGCCGAATACTGAATGCACCATCTTCCCTCAGCTCCCCTGATGTTGGTCCATGAGTTCCCTTCGTCCCTGTGAGCTCCTTCTTATGTCCCAGTGCTTGTACTTGGGAGGCCTCTCCAGGGCTGGTCCCGCTCACTCCCTTCCTGTCACCCTGGGACGTCAGAGCTGGAGAGAAACCCGAACATCGTTTGAACCAACCTCCTGTTTTACACATGAGAAAACCCAAGGCCTGAGAGAGAGGATGTGACTTGCCTGGGGTTATAGGACAAGTGGCAGAGTCAGGTGTAGAACCCAGGTCTCCTAGCTCCCAAGGGGGTGCCCTCTCTCCTCCGGTGACTGCCTCTCAGGTCCAGCACCCATCCTATTCAGTTAGGGTCACTGAGGCACATTGCAAGTTCTCCCACCTGCAGGTGGACATCCCCTTCCCCACTGCTCCTGATGGCCCAGGAGTCAGGGCTAGCCTGCCCATCCCACTCCAGGTCACACCCATCTCGGGGAAGGCTGTCTCCCCTTTCCCAAAGCTCATGACTGTCTCTGTCCTCAGCTTTTCATTCCAGGCTACCCATGCCTTGCCTAGAACATTCTAGAACTTTCCAGAACATTCCAGGCAACCCATCCTTGCCTGGAATGTCCTTCCTCCTTCTTTACGGCCTATCCCAGAAGCCTTCACTACTTTGGGTTTCCACCTAGCCGTGTCTTCTTCTCTGTTGTGTGCAAGAGTTTGGCTTTACATGTAAGACCTCTGAACACAGTCACAGGGCTCCTGTGCTCCTCTTGCGCACATCTTTCTAGATCAGGGCTGGGCCATCACTCAGTACCAACCTGCCCCTGCAGCCTGCCCCCTCTGTGCTCTCCAGCTGGTCTGGAGCAGGGACCAAGGCCCTAGGATGCCACATCTGCAATTCAGCAGCCAGGTGCCATCGCTGCTGGTTCCAGAATTTGCCAAGAGTGGAAGCACAAAAGACCTCCCTTGGCCTGAAGGAGCCACTGGACATACCCCTTTACCCCAGAGCTCATGGCCCTGACCCTTGTGCTTGGATGGAGAAGACCCAAGCAGTGGGGGCGGGAGACCCAAGCTGTCCGTGAGACCGGAAGTCACAAAGAGCCTGCCCCACAGCTGGGCAGGGCTTTGCACGCCGGGCAGCTCAGCTCTAAGTGAAAGGACACAACGGGTTGGAAAGGAGATGCCAGCCAGTGTGCCATCCTGAAACAAAACACAGTCACTCTGGGATTAGTTGGCAAGTCCAAACACAGCATTGGGAAGCAAGCAGAGGTCCTGTCCTCCCACTCTGAGCACGGGCCCGGCTCGGCGTCCGCCCCGGAGAGGCTGCAAGGCAAACGGCAGCGGCATTAATCTGCTGGTGGGTGAGAGAAACAGGAGTGTTACCCTGGGCTGGCCCCTCGGCTGCTCTCCCCCACTAAGGAGCTAGAAGGTGGCCCCTGACTTCTTTGCAAGGGTACGAAGCAGACAAAGTAAAAAATTCAACAAAATGGAAAAAAAAAAAAAAAAAAAAAAA